GTCCCAGTGTGGGCAGGGTTACTCCGAGAACACGCTCGCCACCCGCCCTCCTTGCGGCCCGGGGTAGCAGGCGCGCTCCAGCGGCAACCAGGCTGGGGGCAGCAGAGCGGGGCTACGTGTGTAAATGAGACCCGAGCCACTGGCCCATGGACAGGGAGTCTCTGAGCTGGGTGCCCCGTGTCTAGGTTGGTGGCCTAATCAACGGCGCCAGCCTTTCTCTCAAGGGCTGATGTGTCTGCGCCCATTCAGGCCTTGGCAGAGGGTTGCATTTGCCCATTGCCCTCCTGTAACCTGGGGGGCTTCACCCCATGTGTTTCGGGGGGTGGGCTTTCCACCACAGGGGGGTGCCCTTACAAACTGTTGCATTTCGATGCAATGCTTTTGGACTTGAACCTTCCTCTCTGTGGTGATGGCATACACCACAGCATCTTGTTTTAATGAAAGGGACCCACTGCTAATTATCATAGCTGCTTCTCAGTAGTAGAGGGGAAGAGTCCAGTTTGTGATTCACAGGCCTGCTTTAAATCCTCCACTGCTGCTTCCACTGCAAGGGATGTGGAATGCCCTTCCTACTAGACCAGGGCTACTGAACACATGTCCTATTTGCTTGAGGCCCACGGTGTGGTTTTGGTTTACGTGGGGCTCAACATGTGGCTTGTGGGTGGGATCCTTTGAACATGGCCTCTACTGAGAACACACTTCCCAACAGTGGGGCATCTCCCAGTTGGGGTGAGCACTGAAAGACGCAACTGGACAGGCTGGTTGGAACAGATGGGTACAGGGTGTCGGCATTTCTAGCCTCCAGAGAGGAGGTGCTGTGAGCCCCAGGGCATTGTGAAAAGTGTCTTGTACTCATGCCCGTCAGTGTGAACGAAGCTGTTTGCATATATTTACGTGTGTGTGTATATACAACCACACTTAAGTTGCAGCCCTCAGCATGTGCTTTGAGGCATTGTCGTCGTCGTCCCCCACCCCCCGCTTCCAAAGTTGAGTAGCCCTGCACTAGACTGACCTGCACTGACTGAAGTGGGAAGTGCTCTGACTGCTTCCAGAACTTGTTTGTGACTGTCGTTCTGGGGCCCTTGAGAGAGCTCAGGAATGGCCTTTTTGGAGCCACATCAAAGTGGGCACATAGGGAAGCTGATTCTTGCTAGCTGTTGGGAGACCTGGGCAGAAGGCCTTGTCCAAATTGCCTGCTTGCTGGAGGAAGGCGGTGAAAGCAATAGCAACTCAGATGGTTCTGGGGGTCTGGCCCTGATCAGATTAAGCTAGGAGTGTGGCCTCTCTGAGCAGCCGTTTAGTACTAATGGCAGGTGGCTTTGTGAGTGAGAGGAGCTTTCTGGGAAAGAAAATGTCCATCAGACTGGCAGAACTCCCTATTGAATTGTTGGGGCACACCAGATCCTTCCCCTACTTCTCAAGTGTGCTGGCTGCCTTTCTGAATGCAGCTGCCCTCAAACTTTTCATAGCAGCTTGTCAGAGCCAAGATCTGGCACTCTGGTTCCTGTGATTCTGCCTTTCAAATAAGAATCTGATCTCATGGAGCCCAATGCCCTTTTTCTTCTCAGCCATTCTTGGGCCATTCTATTTTGTTACCGTAAGACCCCTCTCTCTGCAGTTTCAAATGGATACAGGATTGTGCTCTTGCTAGTAGCTTTGTTGGCTGTTTAACAGTTGCTATTTCCCACCCCAGAAGTGGCTGCTTTACAGGTGTGGGTGAAGTGTCTGAAATGCATGAAGATGGCTATGGCAGGGAAGGGCAACATAGGGGCCCGATATGGCCCCTGGCTTGCCTGGATCCAGCCCCTGAGGCTCAGGGCTCCTCCCCAGCACTGGGGAGTCAGCATTGGTGTGCCAGCTCCTCCCCTTGTGCCACCCTACATGGGGCTGGAGCACAGAGTCTACTAGTGTAGTGCTCCCTCCCTTCCTCCCCCCCAGGTTCTGGTGTGTGAGGTGAATGTGGAGAATGTCTTTATTCTTCTCAATCAGGGGCTGCTTCAGTGAGGGTTTTGGTGTGTTACTTTTCATTTGTGTGCAGCCCCTGACTGACTCTTTTTCTGTGGGTCAGCAGCTTCTGACCTAAAAATAGTTCCCCACCCCTGAGGCTATTGTGTGAAAGGCACCAGGAGTATGGAAACTCCAGAAATAGTGGGTGGGGTTTGGGCAGTCTCAAACTGAACCAGCATTTGTTTGCTGAATTTTTGACCTGTAGGGGTGCATTTTCTTGGCTAACTAGTCTTGCTCCCCCATTGAAGTCAGGTTGGGACCATCCCAAAACCTCTATCTATGCATGTTGAATCAAAGGGAAAGTGACAGGAGTTAGCATGAGTCAGGGCTTCCTGTCCTCTTGCCACTAGCAAAACACACTCAGGAAATGGGGTGTGTGTGCATTGCCTACTGTCAGTTTAACTTGCTTGTGTGCCCAGGCTAGTTGGGCCAGTGAGGGATGATGCAGCTGGCATGGTGAGCTACATTGGCCTGTTGATTGTTACATCAAGCCCTCCTATGCCAGAAGCAATCAAATGCCTGATGATTGATTGTACTAATCCCACATGAATCCTTGGAAGTATCGGGGGATGGTGCAAAAGATTCTAGGGCAACTTGAAGCAGCAGCACTTGAAAGGCAGCGTGCATATATCTGGTAATCATGGAAAGGTTTGTTTGTCTTGCAGCAGCATCAAACTGGTGGTGATGGAGATTTGTTACACACCCTGTGGCTGGACTTAGTGCTCAAAGCCTGGCATCCTGCTGTGAAACTACAACATTGGCTATGCCTTGGCCTCTTTGCTCAGTGCCCATACAGGCCTGCCATGGGGTTTGAACATCCTGGGGAACTCTTCTGTAAGAGCGTCCATTACCTTCCCTTGCCTTAAGGGAAGCTACAGCTCAGCACTAGGAGAGGGGTACAAGTGTAAACCTGTGACCCACCCTCCCAGGCAAGCTGTATGTCAGTGCTGGGCAACTGGTCCCTGTATCAGCAACAGCTGTATCTTAGTGGCACCTTCTGAGTAGAGTTCTTGGGTCACAAGCACTAGGGACCTCTGACTCTTTCCAGTGCAGTGGTGACAGTGCTCGTGCCTGCCTGTTGTGTGGGGAAACTAAGAAGTGTACTGACAGCATGATGGCAGGAGCAGGATCCAAGGGAGATGTTGTCATGATAGGTGCTGAAGGGCACTACTGATGGTCTGGGTAGGGATGTCAACATGTGGACTATCACCATACAATTAACCAATAAGTCTAGACTTATTGGTTAATTTTGTCCCCCAGCATTGGCTCCGCAGTGCTGCCTGCCCCCTCC